AGCCAATACTAATAACAATTACAGGCACTCAAGTTCAATCTGACTTACAATGACCTTTCCCAGGGTTTCCTAGGTAGGTATCAAGTATTCAGAAGTGACCTGTCATTCTTTTCTTATGGGGGTATCCCGGGATCATATTGCTCCCTCAGGGTCACACAAGTCAGCTCTTCTCTTCCCCATCAAAATGGGGGATCAAACTCCTGACCCTTGTGCTCCAGTTCTCCGAGTTGTCCATCTGAGCCAGTGAAGCTACTCCTCAATGCCACATGTTATTTCCAGGTACAGATCATACAGCAACTTTTTCCCCCTAAGTGGTTCAAGTACTTCACAGTTGGAATCTGTTTTATCCACGTTAGAGAAGTTATACAACCCAGCAAGAAAACAGCCTATTCTGTTCTAGACTGTTTCACCCCACTCAAGATTACCAAATGGGATATATACCCCTTTCAGATGCTTAAAACACCGACCACTTCCTCCTTGCAAACAGAAAAACTGGGCTATGAGGTCCCAGCGAGGCTTAACCCTTCGTGCTCATTTTTTTAAACTTGTATTTGAAAAGACAGTCTTGGGGCAGCTTTAAAACGAAAGTGTCTATTTCCAGAGTGAGTTTTCTGCAGATTGGCAATCCATTTCTGCAGAAAATACCATCGCGCCGTGAAATCGTCAATACTCCACGGGGAAATAAACGTGTTCGTCTTAGAAGTGCCACATTTTTGTTGTTGTTGCTGCGATTGCAGACTTAACACAGCTCCCTCTCAAATAAATAAATAAATAAAGGAAAGGAAGGATATTCGCAATGGGATCGCGTGCCAGCAGGTCGAAATAAATCAAATACAGTAAATAAATAAATCCCCGCCTCACGGTGGCAAGCGGGGAAGGTCGAAAGCGACCCTCCGGGGCGAAACCTCTGGGGCTGAGGCGCCTATTCCCGATTCGGGGTCCCTCTCGGGGGAAGGCGGCATTTTGGGGGGGGCGTCTCGAAGGAGGCCGTCGATAGAGCGAAGAGGAGGAGAAGGCAGCGGCAAAGCAGAGGACTCTCCGCCGGAGCTGCCCGGCCACCGTTACCTCCTTATCGGGCACCCAGGGCGGCTCTTCCAACCCGAAGGGGCTCCGCGAGGCCCGGCTCTCGGGCACCATCCGGAGCCCGCTCGGCGAACGGACCAACTTCTTGGCATCCAGGGCCTCCCGACCCGACATTTTCACCAGGAGGAGAAGGCAGCGGCAAAGCAGAGGACTCTCCGCCGGAGCTGCCCGGCCACCGTTACCTCCTTATCGGGCACCCAGGGCGGCTCTTCCAACCCGAAGGGGCTCCGCGAGGCCCGGCTCTCGGGCACCATCCGGAGCCCGCTCGGCGAACGGACCAACTTCTTGGCATCCAGGGCCTCCCGACCCGACATTTTCACCTCAGAACCAGCGCCGCCGCCGCCGCCGCCACACGGCGACACGCCAAGGCTCCCCGCCCCGCCTCGCTATCCAATCGGCGCCCTCTCGGCGGTAGACAGACCTCCCTCTCCACCAATAGGAAGCGGGGAACGTTCCAACTTTAGAGGGACTGTTGTTTTCCGCCCGACAATAGGGTTGGGAGTGACTTCCTCGGCTTCCCACCCCGCTCGACGTCGACTTCTCGACCAATCCCTTTAGGGCTCGTCGAGAGCAGATGGGAGGGGGGGGAAGGAAGAGAAGTGCACGAGTCCGCATGCGCAGTTGCAATTGACAGCCGCTCCT